TTCAGTGTTCAAATAGTTTTAATGACAATGTATGATATAAACAGTGAGGGATATAAATGATATACAGGTAAAGATAATATGTCCAGGTGGACCTGTTCAGTCTGTACATTTGATATCAGATTTATACCAGACATGAAGCCAACGTTTGTTGACCTGACACTTTGCAAGTCACATTGCGAAATCGATAATTGGTCTGTGGTATCAAGCATAGTTTATATAAAGATGAAAGAAATGATAGTTTTCTCTCCAACATGTTTCAATAAACAGGAGGTAGTGACTTGAATATCTGATTACCCAGTTCATCCGTAAGCTGATGTAAGCTGAAGTATTCTATGCCTCTTAGTCTCTGTAAGTCTTGCACACAAAGGGGGAGGTGGGATAGCCTAGAGGTTAAAGTGTTCGTTCGTCACGCCGATGACCCGGGTTCTGTTCCCATAATGGGTACAATGTGTGAAGCCCATTTCTGATGTACCCGCCGTGATATTGCTGGAATATTGCTAAAAGCGGTGTAAAACCAAACTAACTCACGAGCGGTACATAAAGTCACCACATTGATTAATAACAGTAAACACATGCATTAAAACTGTCAACACGAGAGTTCAATAAAGACACAGCATGCATTAATAACAGTTAATATCTGCATCGATTAAGAGTCACATCATGCATTAAAACTGTGAACACGAGCTCACTCACACCATCTCTTGATAACTGACACACGCATTGATTAAAGTCCCCGCATGCAGTAATAAATGTCAACACGTGCGTTGATTAAAGCCACTTCATGCATTAATATCATTCAACACATTCATAAATAAAGTCAATACATGCATTAGTAATCGCCAACACATGTGTTTAATAATTGTCACACATGCACTCATACCAGTCAACACATGTAGACCCGTGAAGATCCGGGTTAGAATTGGTCTTCAGCAACCCATGTTGAACGGGACAACTAACGGGACTGGGGTCAGACTCGCTGACCTGGTTGACACATGTCATCGTATCCCAATTGTGGTCTACAGACCGCCGCCATATAGATGAAATCTTGATGAGTGCGGCTAAACACCAAACAAACAAAAACACCAAACAAACAATCAATACTTGCATTGATCAGCAATACTAAAATGTCAGCAGTTATTTGGTCCGCTATTATGGAATATGGTTCCATGTTGTCAGTCTGCGTCAGGAAGACCGCTGCCGGTGCTGATAGATGGATATAACGCAGGTCGGTAGGTTCCATCCTCGTGCATGTCTTTATGAATTGTCACATCATGTTCCCCGTATGTTGGATTCTGAAACGTAGCATCCTGTTCGACATCCAGATCCACAAAGCGGGCGCTGTGGCGCTGTTTGTACTTCTCCACCACTGGCTCACGGGAGCTTCGAAAGGGGTCCGCCTGAAGGCCAACCATTGTGAAGTAACGTAAACAATATATTTTACATCTTCAGTCTTGTTCCATTTTGATTTCATTTATTCGTATTCAAAAACCCAGATAAAAATATTACAATTGTCGAATGGTGATACGTTGGCCGCTGTAATCAGTATGCGCCGATGTACCCACAATATGAACGTTGTGGGTAGGTAGACGGCATGTGGGTATTGTACCCATACAGATGTTGTACCCGACTTGTAGTCATTGTACACGCCACGCTGACATTGTACCCAACATGGCGGTTGTACCAGCACGTGTATATGCTCCTCGACATTCAAAATACAAAACGTTCACAGGTTTCTAAATATGTCATGTCCACAAACACATTCACTCCACCTACCTTCTGTACCAAATAAAAGCAGCGACGACTACAACGACGACAAGAACTCCAACTACAATGCCAACTATTAGGCCAACTGGAGTCGCCGACTTGGGCTGGAAGACAGACATACACGAAAGGTTAGTATAACAAAACACCTCCTACATCGTCCGTTTGGGAACACGTTTTGCGATTTACAACTACAGCTATGTTACACCGTTAGAATTATGTGTGCCAAAAGAGGTACAAAGTGAGACCATAAATCTAAGTCATACATGATCGCAACCAAGCTGAAACAACGAGGATCTGCCTGACAAACCAATAATCATTATCAATGTACATCAAGGATTCGAACCCACGATTATAGGATCATGGGTCGCCAAAGGGACACAATTCTGAACAACACCTGGCCATCTTTACCACATAACCGGGTTACATTAGTTACAAGCATTCATAATAGTAGAACTCCTGAAGATGCGGGTTAGAATTGATCTTCAGTACTGACTGACTGAGTTTGGTTTTAGGTCGCTTTTAGCAATATTCCAGCAACATCACGGCGGGTGATCTTCAGTAATCCATGCTTGTTGTAAGAGGCGACTAACGGGATCGGGTGGTCAAACTTGGTTGACACATGTGACAGTTGCGTTGATCGATGCTCATGACGTTGATCACTGGATTGTCTGGTCGAGACTCTATTTATTTACTGACCGCCACCATATAGCTGGAATATTGCGGAGTGCGGCGTAAAACTAAATTCACTCACAATAGAAGACAACATCGGACACATACCTCAGGTTTTGACATCCTCAGTTCCTCTACCGATCCTTTGTATACATTGTATGGCATTGAATGTTCCAGGTAGTCTTTGGACACGGAGAAGGTTGAAGCTGGTGGTGATGTCAATCGCATTGTCACCTCAGTGATCTCCTCTCTGTAAACGAAAACCAGATCAATCTTCCAGGAAATCTTCTATACCTCAATACCTCATGCTCTGAGGTAGCCATGTATACACTTAAAAATGTATTTAACCAAAAACGTACAAACGCTATCACAACGTTACTAGGCTGAAAGGGGCGGTAGGGTTGCCTTGTGGTTCAAGCCTTTGCTCGTCACGCCAAAGCCCTGTTCGATTCCCCAAATGGGTACAAGTTGCGATCCCCACTTCTGGTGTCAATATAGTGCTGTAATATTGCTAAAAGCAGCGTACAACAATTCTTATTCACACTATACTGCAAACGTATGATACCAATCAACTTATTAGAAAAACGAGTGAGTGAGTTTTACGCCGCACTCAGCAATATTCCAGCTATGTGGCGGCGGTTTGTAAATAAACGAGTCTGGACCAGACCATCCAGTGATCAACAGCATGAACATCGATCTGCGCAATTGGAAATCGATGACATGTGTCAACCAAGTCAGCGAGCCTGACCACCCAATCCCGTTAGTCGCCTCTTACGACAAGCATGGGTTACTGAAGATCAATATTCTAACCCGGATCTTCACGGGTTTCAAAAAACGAGGTTTCACAAAACAATTATACGTTTCTCAAAAGAAGAATATTTCACCTACCCTGCACTGTCATATAGTTGTTTCAGGCTGATAAAAATCTGTATACTTGAAGGATTTACGTTCTGTAGCCTTGAAGCAATATCTGACTGAAGAGTTGATTTGAGATCAGGAATTATGATCTTCTTGTAGGATACCTTCACGTACACTGTCACGGTTTCTCCTAAAGAGGTAAATAAAATATTTTTATAGACATTGTATATAATTATTAATATCTAATTAATTTATTGAACATATTTTATGGTTTTGAGATGTTAATACCATTGAATATACTTTATTACAACCTAACTTTCTTATTCATGTCAGTGGATACAGGGCGCATTGGATCGTATACAATTATACTGTACACCATTTTCAAGAAAACATGGGATAAAAGATGTGGACAAAGGCTAAAACTAATGTGTCTAAATAATAATGTGTTTAACATACGCCTTGGAATACCATTAAGCTTCAGTTAAATAGGTTACATAGATCAGACCATTTATAGAGACTTTGTGTTCTTGTTTTGTCCCAAGAAGTTTTCAACCAGATGAATGTTCTTTAGAGATTAGTTTCGGTTCTTTATTAAAAACTGAAATGTAGAATATTTTTCATTTGAAATTAAAATGAGTTAAAATAAGTTTTTGTCGTTGATGCCCATAGGACCTAGTGTCCATGATTTGATTTCAAATGGCAAACTATAATTGATATTGTTCTCCAGGCGTGTTCATAAAGATTTCACATGATGGCTTCAAGATAAACATGCATAACAGATTCTGGTTAATTTTCACAAATGTTATCACCAGCAATATTCACTACAAAAGATTCTGTTTTGGTACAGATAATAATGTAAAATAATCTACACTATAAATAGTATTTTCCACCAAGAGATAGTAGTAGTAGTGAGTAGTAGTAATGTGCTGCCGTTTATGAAAACTACGTTTAAGTGTTTCATAGTAGAGCCTAATATTTACCATTCTATTATATTAAAAATACCCTTTATGCTGCGCATAGGTTTTAGACAACCCAAAGGAATCTTGCTCTGTGCATTGTAGACATTCTTAATGCTTTTATACCTTTCATGGATATAGGTAAGAACATTAGACCAGTGGCTTAATAAGAGTGGTTCTGATAAAATATCTTCATTAAGTATAGTTCTCACTACTGTACCTGTTGTAGGATTCCTTGTTGGCGCTTTTGTTGACGTGGAATGTTCAGATGAAGATTGTGTGTGATGGACAGAGTGAGTAGATTCTCCGGCAGTACCGGACGTCGATGCAGAGGGTGAAGGCCGACTGGGAGATACAGATTCACCTGCACCTGGACTTGTGGACACAATTGAAGTAGATGACCCTCTTGATGTCGTTCTACCAGGTTGGATGCTTGTTGGTGTACGGCTGCTTGTTTGGGGGCTCATGGGTGTTCCTGAAGACTGCGTTGTAGGAGACGGCTCTCCTGATGTCGCGCTACTATGCTGGGGACTTGTTGCTGTGCGGCTGCTTGTTTGGGGTCTCATGGGTGTTCCTGATGTTGTGCTTCTATGGAGAGGGTTTGTTGCTGTAGGTCTGCTGGTTTTGGAGGTCATTGGTGTTCCTGAAGATTGCTTTGAAGTGGATGGCTTGAAGGATGTTGATGTGTGCGAGGTCAGTGAGACAAATGTTGATAACGTTGGCGTTGGTGTCTGAAATGAAAGATCAATTGTTGTTAAAACTTCGATGTTGTATATTGTTTTTTTTTTTTCACTCAGCACGTGTCCAGCTCAATGACAGCGGTTTGTAAATAGGCGAGTCTGGACCAGACATAACAGTGATTGGCATCATCGATCTTCAAAATTGGGATGCGATGATCAACCGAATCTGATCACACGATCCCATTAGTCGCCTCTTACGACGATCTAATCTGGAGGTTAATGACAATGTGATTGCAGCAGACCGGGATGAAATTACGTATACCTACCTTCTTAGATGTTGAAGTTATCTTTGGTGAGGTTTCGGTGCTTCTTGGCCTTTGGGATGTGGTTCCTTTTGTTGATGGAATCGATTTTGGTGTTGTCTTTGCTGAGGTTTCGGTGCTTCTTGGCCTTTGGGATGTGGTTCTTTTGTTGATGAAATCGATTTTGGTGTTGTCTTTGTTGAGGTTTCGGTGCTTCTTGGCCTTTTGGGTGTGGTTCTTTTTGTTGATGAAATCGACTTTGGTGTTGTCTTTGTTGAGGTTTCGGTGCTTTTTGGCCTTTTGGGTGTGGTTCTTTTTGTTGATGAAATCGACTTTGGTGTTGTCTTTGTTGCGGCTTCGGTGCTTCTTGGCCTTTTGGGTGTGGTTCTTTTTGTTGATGAAATCGACTTTGGTGTTGTCTTTGTTGCGGCTTCGGTGCTTTTTGGCCTTTTGGGTGTGGTTCTTTTTGTTGATGAAATCGACTTTGGTGTTGTCTTTGTTGAGGTTTCGGTGCTTTTTGGCCTTTTGGGTGTGGTTCTTTTTGTTGATGAAATCGACTTTGGTGTTGTCTTTGTTGCGGCTTCGGTGCTTTTCAATTTTTGGGACGTGGTTCGTCTTGTAGATAGTATTATTGGAGATGATATATTAACAGAATGCGCTGTTCCACGAGTGGCCCCAGGCGTTGTCTTCTGGCCATTAGTGGTTGTGGACTTTACAGTTGTTTGGGCCTTCTTGACTGTTGTTGGTTTCACTGATAATGTCTTCGGCTTATTAGGCGTTATCGAAGATGTCTTTGCTGTCGTCGATGTCACAGTGGATGGTTTTTGTGTTGATGTTGATATTCTTTGTTTTGTCGTACCTAAAGAATATAATCCATACAGCTTCATGACAATACTTGAGAATAAAGTAGAACACACTGCAGCAAATGAAATGCATACACATAATAATAAAATAAATGAGCTAAACTATAGCCATTCACACTTGATGTTACGAATCACACAATGGTGTAAGTATCAGGGAATCAAATTTGCAAATTTCAAACAGTATATTCTGATTTTGTATATTTTTACCGTGAATAAAGAACATTAAATCTGGTTAATTCTCACTTATTAATCTAGTCGATGTAGCGGCTGACGTTGAGGTAGTTGCCTTGATTGTCGACGTTGATAGGAGTAATATTTCACAGCGTGAACCTGCAATAGTAGAACAGGAATGTAGAAAGCATTATGATGGTAACAGATCAATAGAATTCAGCCAATAACCACTTGAACAGTTCACCGTTAATAAAGAAAATACCAGACCGATCTGGTGATGGTACAGTACGGTTTTGTATTTTGATATTTCTTTGCTATAGACGTTCGACTCAAAATAAGATTGTCAGGTAGGAGTTTCAGGAAAGTGAATTGAAATCCACATGGAATGCCTACCCTTAAATCCAGATGTACAGGAACAGGTGACCATTGATCCAGTAAAATGGCATGTTCCTTGATTCAGACAAGGGTTCTTTGTACATGGGGTGGTCTCACAATGTGTACCATTAAATCCAGATTTACAGGAACAGGTGGCTTTCGATCCAACAACATGACACGTTCCTTGATTCAGACATGGAATCTTAAATGTACAGGTGGGTGCAAGTTCTCACAATGTGTGTTCCGTTAAATCCAGATTTACAGGAACAGGTGACCTTTGTTCCAGTAAAACGGCACGTTCCTTGATTCTGACATGGATTCTTTGTACACGGGGTGGTCTCACAATGTGTACCGTTATATCCAGATTTACAGGAACAGGTGGCTATCGATCCAACAACATGACACGTTCCTTGATTCAGACATGGATTCTTTGTACAGGGAGTGGTCTCACAATGTGTACCGTTATATCCAGATTTACAGGAACAGGTGGCTATCGATCCAACAACATGACACGTTCCTTGATTCTGACATGGATTCTTTGTACATGGACTGGTCTCACAATGTGGTCCGTTAAATCCAGATTTACAGGAACAGGTGACCTTTGTTCCAGTAAAACTGCAAGTTCCATTGTTCTGACATGGATTCTTTGTACAAGGGTTTTTCTCACAATGTGGTCCGTTAAATCCAGATTTACAGGAGCATGTGACATTTGTTCCAGTAAAACTGCAAGTTCCATGATTCTGACATGGATTCTTTGTACATGGGTGGTCTCACAATGTGGTCCGTTAAATCCAGATTTACAGGAACAGGTGACCTTTGATCCAGTAAAACGGCACGTTCCTTGATTCTGACATGGATTCTTTGTACATGGAGTGGTCTCACAATGTGTACCGTTATATCCAGATTTACAGGAACAGGTGGCTATCGATCCAACAACATGACACGTTCCCTGATTCTGACATGGATTCTTTGTACAGGGGGTGGTCTCACAATGTGTACCGTTATATCCAGATTTACAGGAACAGGTGGCTATCGATCCAACAACATGACACGTTCCTTCGTTCCGACATGGATTCTTTGTACATGGACTGGTCTCACAATGTGTTCCGTTAAATCCAGATTTACAGGAACAGGTGACCTTTGTTCCAGTAAAACTGCAAGTTCCATTGTTCTGACATGGATTCTTTGTACAAGGGTTTTTCTCACAATGTGTTCCGTTAAATCCAGATTTACAGGAGCATGTGACATTTGTTCCAGTAAAACTGCAAGTTCCATTGATTCTGACATGGATTCTTTGTACAGGGGGTGGTCTCACAATGTGTACCGTTAAAACCAGATTTACAGGAACAGGTGGTGACCTTTGTTCCTGATTCTGACATGGATTCTTTGTAATGGGGTGGTCTCACAATGTGGTCCAATCCGTTCCTTGATTCTGACATGGATTCTTTGTACACGGGGTGGCCTCACAATGTGTACCGTTAAATCCAGATTTACAGGAACATGTTGCTTTCGACCCTACAATATGACATGTTCCTTGATTCTGACATGGAAACTTGGTACAGGGGGCGGTCTCACAATGTGGTCCGTTAAATCCAGATTTACAGGAACAGGTGACCTTTGATCCAGTAAAACGGCACGTTCCTTGATTCTGACATGGATTCTTTGTACATGGAGTGGTCTCACAATGTGTACCGTTATATCCAGATTTACAGGAACAGGTGGCTATCGATCCAACAACATGACACGTTCCTTGGTTCTGACATGGATTCTTTGTACAGGGGGTGGTCTCACAATGTGTACCTTTATATCCAGATTTACAGGAACAGGTGGCTATCGATCCAACAACATGACACGTTCCTTCGTTCCGACATGGATTCTTTGTACATGGACTGGTCTCACAATGTGGTCCGTTAAATCCAGATTTACAGGAACAGGTGACCTTTGTTCCAGTAAAACTGCAAGTTCCATTGTTCTGACATGGATTCTTTGTACAAGGGTTTTTCTCACAATATGGTCCGTTAAATCCAGATTTACAGGAGCATGTGACCTTTGTTCCAGTAAAACTGCAAGTTCCATGGTTCTGACATGGATTCTTTGTACAGGGGGTGGTCTCACAATGTGTACCATTAAAACCAGATTTACAGGAACAGGTGACCTTTGTTCCAGTAAAACTGCACGTTCCTTGATTCTGACATGGATTCTTTGTACACGGGGTGGCCTCACAATGTGTACCGTTAAATCCAGATTTACAGGAACAGGTGACCTTTGATCCAGTAAAACGGCACGTTCCTTGATTCTGACATGGATTCTTTGTACATGGAGTGGTCTCACAATGTGTACCATTAAATCCAGATTTACAGGAGCATGTTGCTTTCGACCCTACAATATGACATGTTCCTTGATTCTGACATGGATTCTTGATACAGAGGGTGGTGTCACAATGTACACCACTAAATCCAGATGGACAGGAACAATTGAATGTTGACCCTACTACGACACACTTTCCTCCGTTGTGGCAGGCAACGTTGTGACACGGTGTTTGTTGGCAGGAACTTCCGGTATAACCTGACAAATACATGAAAAGCATGCAGTTCAAGAATATGTCTTGAAAACTTAAATAATGGAAAAATAACGATTTTAACATGCGAGTAGATTTATAGAATTAAACAAAATAAGTTCATAGATAGTGTAATGGCTTGTAAAATTATATCTAGTTTTTTCAGTATGTTTTTAAAGGCAAAGACGGAAAGACACTGACAATGCACTATCAAACACTCACAGCATTGTACTGGTTTAAAGTCCGGCTTAATGGCAGTAAATATTAAATTCCTAATCTGTAGAAGTTTAATTGTGATGTCACTTCCGGTTCCGATGAATCTGCCAATAATCATCATCACGAACCTTTACATTATGTAAGTGGTATTCAACAGTTTGGTTCAGAAGCTTTGTTTTTGATTTGCTAAATGATGCCATCACTTCCAGATCTGGATTAGGTTCACTGAGGGCTGGATGATGCCATCGAAGCACAGTATTACAAACACATGTCATGTCGAGCTACGCAATATATTTGTACTCAGGTTGCACAGCTTTCCTTAAATTGTCTCATATTTATTTGTATCTATCTATCTATCTATCTATCGTGCAGTTCCAGTGGACAAGCGGTAATACGGTGATAAGGTGGAGGAGATGATGATGGTTCTGTTTCATAGACTTCTAAGATTACATTCCGTACAATAACATTGGTTACAGTTTGCGCAGCTCTTAGATCGATTTGTGGCACAAAGTCTTGTCGAAGGGGAAGCAGCGTGAGATCATGGGAAACACGGATGAGAATGACGTTTGTGAATATTAAATATTTGTCATGGAAGGACTCTGAAGTATTAATTTACAAATCTCACAATAAAATAAACCTTTAACCTAAACATATAGGGAGACAGGCTTTTAAAGTACAGTTAGTAGTAGGCCATGCACCACAACCAAAAAACAAGTCATGTCTACATTGCTCGGAACAAGATTAGGAGGAGGTTAAAAAAATTGGGTTTAACTTCGCTTTCAAGATTATTGCACTTTCGTATTGACGTATTTCGTATCCCAATTTATACCTGTGTCACAGTACTAGCCCAAGTCCCACTTCATTATCTGTATCCAACTGAAGCAAATTATGTTGACTCTGGGACAACCAATAATTATTTTACCCTCAAAACCGACCGTAGGCTGGGTAATAACAAATACCACGTTTAACGTCTTTTATTGTGACGTGGCCGGGATTCGAACCACCAACCTTCAGCTCTCAAGGCTGACACTGTATCTGCCAGACCATGGAGATGATGGATGTACAGTAGGACTCATAGATAGTTAACTATAGGGTTAACGATGGGAGCAAAATGTTTAGCGCTAAGTAGCCTTACAGTCTGTCTATTGTACCAAACAAATATCACATTTTCACGTTAACAGGCTACACGCGCGTTTCAAACTCCGTGAAAGAGATTCCCGGATATAAAACTACACTATCAATCAGGTGTTCAAGAAGTGAGAGGTTTTCTCAATGTTCAACGCAATCAATCAGGATCAAGTACTGCGTTACTGAGAAACCTTAATGTCGATGGCATATTCAGGACATTAAGTATATCTTCAGTTGGCATGTCTGTCTTTAGTTCAGGTGTAACTTGACTATGTGTAACATACCTTTAATGCAGTGTTTTGACCCATCCGGGCCACATGTGTAGTGGTCAGCTGAGCCTGGGTTACACAGGACAGAACAGTTCGGTCCATAGTAGTGGGGGTCACAGGTCACAGTGATGGTCAGTGTTAATCTGAAATGTGGAGTCACCCATATTGACATTGCTTGTAGTGGCAGATATTGCATGTACAGGGTATAAGTCGTTCCTGAACATGTATATCATGATAATTCAAACATAATAGCAAGAGAATATATAGTTCCGATTACTAGTATCTGCCAAAAGAGATTCTATCGGGTGTAAAAAGCAAACTAACGAAGAAAATGTTTTGAGTGGATAACATAAAGTTAAAATCCGTGTGAGATGGACCTATTTATATAGATATAGTGTGGGATACAGAGCGAGACGAGAACACTCTTAGAGAAAATATTGCTGTAGTCACGCACCTTGCATGGCTGTCGGTAAGCGTGACGTTAGCACCATTGTGAGACGACGGTAGAGGGGTCTTCAAGTCATCCAGAGGAAGAGGTGTTGATGACAACCAGTAATCATCACCCACTTTGACCTCAACCTCCGCACCTGTCTGAACAAATACAGTTTCTGTTTGATTACGGAGTTCACTGATACACAAGTATAAAGCAGTTTCAACTCGATCACCTTACGTTCCCGTTCTGCTTGTCTTAGTGTAAGTGAGTAGTATTTTATGCCATTTATATACCCTTGATATCACGGCAGTGGGACACCATAAATATGCTTCACACCTAGGCTTCAGTATGTGCATAAATAAATAAATTCACTCTTGTCAATATTTAAGTGTTACCTTGTTTCTATCAGAAAAAGTGTTCAAGTTGAGTATTTAAGTTTCATTCGTGGACCACCTTTTTTGTACACTGTTTACTGTTACTGAGAAAGAATGCATAACATGGTATACTTTAGCTGTAGGTGTAAACGTCATGGGCTAAATAGCTTCAGTATTGACTTTCAGGCGGCACGACTAGATCGCTAAATTTACCTGTAACGCAGTAAACGACTTGACGATGGGATTGGCTATCCCGCCGTTAATGCTCGTCCCAAATTTGGCATCCCTCGTGCCCTTGTACTGGTCACTCGTCTTTGTACAGGAACTGTGACAAAATAATGAGACACCTTCACACTCTCAAAATACGATCGGTTGTTGTCGGTCATAATTGGGAAGTCGTACATTTACAATTGTCTGTACCTCACGAGAAACGCCTCTTTCTACCATCTTCAGCAACGTCAGTGTATATAGTAAAATATGCGTTAGATGACTTTTCCTAATGATTGTAGACAATGGCCTAGTAGAACTTCAAGGTTGTTTACCTTCAGATTAGACTTTGATGTGTGGTAAAACAACTTACTCTTTGCCGGACAACCCCTTGAAACAGACGGTGAACAGTAGGTCACAGGGATGAGATGAGAACAAGCTTCCTTTGCATCCTGCATCTGATGACCTGTGATACTCCAGCAGATGTACAGACACTCTCCCGCTGCCGGTACTGGGCTGTCGGGGAGAGACGTCGACACATGAGACAGCAACACCCAAATTTGCAATTATTGCATGTTTACAAACATGTTTCTGAAATGAACCTTAACGGCTAAATGGAATCTTGTCACGTACCTCAAAGCAGTTAGCAAACATAAAAACGACCAAAAGGTAGTTCCACTTCCACATGGTGTGTTTATACACAGACACACGTCCCTTTCTTGGTCGTTGTTCAGAAGGTGTCCGTCTCTCCACCTGTTCTATTAAACGGATGCTTGAAACACGCCTCCTTATTGTTGTTCCACCACACCTTAACGGTACATGTACAAGCGGGTTATGAATCCTCTGATACAGCCGGAATGTGTGTTGGTGCTATCAGCATTAGTTGCCCTGATTGTACAGTTCACTATCAGTGTCACAGTTGTCGCTATCTTCATACAGTGTACATGTAATTATATTGTATTATATTACTTTGTATGCACTGTATGCTACTGGGTGTACTGTAGTTAGTTGTCTCAAGTGCCCAAAGTCTTTTGATTAGCAAGTCGTCTTCAAATAAACATCTTTCAGGCAACATATCTGTGTTTCTAGCTGAACACGTATCACTGAAGATAAAGAAATAAATATTGATGTTTCATTATCAAATGTTTTCATTTTTTATCATCAATTATGTTATTTCGGTTTGTTGAAACCCATGGCTAAACTATACAGAATATAAGGGATATGATTTTGTCTCACAAGTATGAAACCATAACAAAGGAGAAAGATCTTGTCCTTTTTGCTGAAAAAGGGAGAAAGTATATCTCACAAGGATATAACTATTACTAAAGGCGAAAGGACTTCTTGGAGTGGCATTTACATATTGGTGTGATGTACAAGTGGGATAGCTCTATGGATATACAACTTCTCTGTTACAACATATGCGAGGTTTCGGCGTATATGCTAGCGCGTTGTTTTATATCCATGGAGCCATATCCACCCATAGCCATTGCTATATAAATTGTGTCTCACATGGCTAAACCTAAACCTTGTCTTACATGCAATTCTCGCTTCCGATATGATTTCAACGTAAGGATGCGAAATAGATATCGAATGCAAATCTCAAAACGTTTTCAAAGTCATAATTGATACATTGATACATACTATTAAACTCAGCATACAACTTACATTGTTTCTTTTTCTAAACACAGATATTTTTCCTTCATACACATTGTGACTCAATGTTTTCATTACTTCTTTTAAATCCATTAACACAGTAGGAATCGAATCTAAATCTTTTTGCTGGCAAAATCCACCGTTATATTGAAGAGTTATCTAATTGTGTGAAATCATAATTAGCTAACGTCATGTAAATGAAGTGTAAGGGCAAGAATCATGGTTAAACGTAGACTGAATAGAATGGTGAGTACTGTGCCCTGGGCACCACTTGAATCGGGATGGAGGTTTGCGTGTGCGTGCGTGCGTGTTGATAATTAATTGTCTTTGATTAGCATGGGCAAGAAGCACTTGAAGTTTGCATTTTTGTTCCATTCGATAATTATCAAAGAATGCGTAAATGTGTAATTATTAAAGAATGTGTAAATCGAAATATGTTTTATCCATAATTTCTGTTGTTGCCATAGGCGCTATATTCATTAGATACGCCGCAGTCACATTGTTTTAGTTATATCATGGCTGCATGTAGCAAGCATGTAGCCCTATCAGGCAGTCAGGTAACATTGACACTAACGCCTGACGCTTCCACTCATATGACAAGCAATTTTATTCTGGAGATTCTCTAAACTTGATTTGATCAAGACTCAGTCTGGGTATTCGTTTGCACTCGCTAACTCACTCACTGACTGGTGGTGTGTGGTTCTGTGCATAGAGCTCAGGTCACAATTCAGTTGAAGTTAAGCAACGTTGAGAGCGGAGACCATTTGGATGGGTGACCATGTTCGGCAGCTTGCCTCCTGAGAGTTTCTAGGACTTCAGTCCTGTTCCACAACGAAGCATATGTGATACCTTAGGCAATTGAGTTTGTTCAAAATTGTCTCTGTTCACCCAGCAGAAAATGGGTACCCAGAGGGATAAGTCATTTGACTATTAACCTTCTAGCGTCTCACAGGCAGCTTGGATTATCCGGGGTAATAATAATAATCACCCTCTGTATTGATAGGTACATGTCAGCGAGGGCTCTGTCCAGATGCCATCCATATCAATTTCCGAAACATTAATTCTCTTATTCTGAAAAGCAGTTGACTAAATTCAGAAATAAGATTCCCTTTTTTAAAGTCAAAATGTTTGTGATGAACTATAAAAACCGACCACTGCGAAAAAAATACAACTAACTATGTATATACATTTTCTCTTCTTGATAAGATGTTTTACTTAGCATATTTTAGCAATATTTCCAGGTCATATTTTCAGTGCATTCAAATTTTCACGGCCTTTGCTTTTATTGGATATTAACTGAAAATCTGGGTTAGAACTGGTCTTCAGCAACCCATGCATGTCGTAAGGGGCGACTAACAGGGTGGTGTACGCAGGCTATCTGACTTGGTTGATATAATTATATCATCGTGTGAAGATTGCGTAAATCGATGCTTACGTTGCCTATGAATGGATTGTCTGGTCCAGACTCGTTTATATACAGACCGTTGTCTTATCGCTGGAGTATTGCTGAGTGCGGTGTTAAACAATAAACATACAAAAAGACACCCACATTGACTGTCCTAGTCATATAATAGTGACAAATGCGTCCATAAAATATTACTAGCAACATGCCCTCTCCTTTGGCAAGGCCAAACGGTCCGAATCTGGTGGAGCTTTGGACAAACACATACGCACAATTAGGTACTTGTTTCGAATCGAACCCGGATCTTCGGAGTGAGGAGCAAATGCTTTAACCACTAGGCTACCCCACCGCCCCTATGGTACTTAGAAACCTAAGTCAACATAGACAAATGAAATGAACGATGCGATCCGATCCGATCCGATGCATACTGTTTAGACTTATATTACATGTCCCAGTGTGTTTAGGTGAATTATTGACCTGCGTTTGCATGACTTGTGTCTGTGACAGGTTCCACAGATGTACTGACCAGACCATTACATGATGCACATCTGATGATCATAACCTTTTCTCAGCAGCACGAGAAGAACCGTCAAAGTACTAACATCACTATTTTTATGTTCTTAAACAAATAGAATGTAAAGTATCCAGAGTTATCAATTGTGGATATGGTGATACCATGTTTTATTGATCAAAGGTATCCCATAGATGTTCAATGGGGGGCTAACACCTGAACATTGTTTTGCTGGAGGAAGTCCTGTCAAAACACGTGCAACGCGAGGTCGAGCATTAACCGTTGATGTTGATGAAGGGGACGACGTGACGTTGAACTGGTTTTCTCGCAAACAGTCTGGCTTCCCATAGCCAATTGCGCACTGTCTGGTCGGAGATTCGGCGCAGTCCAGGGATTTGGATTGTTGTGGATGATGCAGCCGTGGTGTTTGAATGAAGATGTCTCAACCGGATGTAGCGATCCTGTGCGGCGGTGGTAACTCTAGGTCGACCTGACCTGGGTCTGTCATTAACACTCCCAGTATTGTTGTATCGGGTCCATATGTTTGAGATGGTCTGTCTGGACACGCTGAAGTACCTTGCCACCTCATGCTGCGATGCCCGTTCTTGTAAACGGCCGATGCCGCTGTGTCGTTGAGCTTCTGTCAGTCTGTTCATTCTCTTGTTGTCTATAGTGGCTTAAAGCAATGCATGTGGAGTTCCATTGATGTGTCTTTTTAAAGCCTACAGTCATAGGCTTCAGCTCAGGGTGTTACACAATTTCATGATTCACGTGCATTTCATGTAGGGTGCGTTTGAGCGATCCACTGCAGACGTTGTATGTTTGTGTGTGTGTGTGTGCGTGTGTGTGTATTTATGTGACTTAAAATCTTAACTCACTAACTCACATTTCGTATCTATGTGTTATAGAAGATAACATACATTATATACTGAACAACAAAAGAAAAGTTTTTAAATATAATACAACCAAAATTATGTCTAATGATTTATTCTATAGAAAATACTGTCACTTTAACAGCTGACAGTGACTGTTGACATTGAATTGCAATAATTTCAAATTGATCACAGTCCGTCAAATGGAGATACCCCTGAACGCGAAAAGTGACAGTCTCTTTAGTAGCGCGTATAGCCATCTTGAGCTTGCACACAGGCCGTGCAACATCGCCTCATTGAGTTCACTAGAGTCTGAAAGAATGCCTGAGGGAAGTGGTTCCACTCAAACACCGATCTCTGTTCCAACTGTACAAGTGAGAGTGGCTGTCTACCTGCAGCAATCATACGTCCAATGTCGTCCCAGAATGTTCAATGGGAGCCCTATCCGGGGAAAGAGACGGTCATGGAAGAACGTTAATGTTGCTCTGAGCCAGATAATCCATCGACACCCTTGCTGTGTGAGGGTTGTAGACGTCGCTGGACTTGTAGATGTGTCAAAATTGGCCCCACATATGGCCGTCGGCAGTGGATTCCAGCAGCCCGTAGACGACGCCTAATCGTATCGCTGGACACTGCTCCCATTGACCCATGAACTAAGGCTGCTGTTACTGTTGCTGCTTGAGTTCGGTACCATAGATGAGTGACCCGGATGAACCGATCTTGTGCATGAGTTGTCACTCGTGGTCTTCCGGTACGGGGACGATCAGCAGCAACCCCGGTTTGCTGATGACGTTGAGCAAGTCGTGTAATGGTGGTAAGATGATAGCCCTATTGCCTAGCTACAGCGGTTTGATGAGCTACCTCTGTGCAACTTTCCAATGACCATTCCCCTCTGCTCAGTCGTTAGTCTAGACCTCGTTTTGCTGTGTGCGAATGTTTCGTATGGACGTCAAATCGCATGACATCATCTCATCTGGGATCATTACGTCACTTTACTATAAACGTTCCGTAAACATGAACACCTTTCTTTATCAGATTTATTTTTTTCTAAACTTGCGTTTCTTTTGCTGTTCAGTATATATGTTAGTGTGCAAAATTAATAACCTTTTAAGACACCTAGGCATTTTTGCTAACACTAACATGAATAATGATTATTCTCTGATAACTTTAGCACAACCTTGTCTTTATGCGCTTGATACATTACAAACTCTGGTTATTGTAGCAACACTCTATATGGAATGCATGTATATATACTGTACACGAGCCTCTGGCCTTTATATTGTGAAAAAACACTATCTTAACTATCAATTATCAGTATGGTTATAACACTACAGACAGACTACACTGTATATGGTACAAAGTCGCATATGTGATAGATGGGAACCTACAAACCTCGAAACCTCGAGCTGATTACTAACACAGGTAATCATTTAGTGACGGTTGTCAAGGACTGATAATCAGTACTATGTGCTGATGTCTTATCTGTTTAGTTGATAGTGACAACCAACAGTGACAACCCTGTTTGGGTCGAACTAGAAATCAGTCATTGTTTCAAACATGGAAGTGAAAATATGAAAACAACACACTAAATTTGCAAAAAAATTATTAATAGAAATAGGAAAGATGCATTTACAAATTATTACGATTGCGAGTGATATATATCTCATTTTCGTAACACTCTTTTTGTGTTCTGATAATGCTAAATCTAAAAGGTAGTACTTTAGCCACACTCAGATGGTTCTGCCGTTACGCAGCGTACCCGACTATCTGTCTAATTACTATGACAGACACCCAAACAGTCACAAATTTATTGATCTACTGAGTGCGTACAATTCTTTAACTCTACGAAATGTATCAGCATTTATATTCAATGCATTAAACTATAGAAAGACTGTCATGTCTTAACTGATTTATGTAAAATCCACGTTAATGATTGCTTATATTCTACCATATGCATATTGTAAATGTACTACAGGTCTGTGGCCTCTTTAGTACTGAATAAACAGATTGGAGTGGATTGGACAAAGGGACGTAATTTATTTAAATAGTAACTGGATTTCATGGCTTTTCACAACTCATATGTTTGTTGATCTTGTCTAACAGAACAATGCACTTTCAACAATTAATCAATATGTCCCTTTACTTCGTTTGTTTCAAATAAACACGTGTACAGTTCTTTGAAACTTGGGTCGTTGTGTCAATATTACTATTGCGACTGATGAAGGGGGAACAATTATTGCGACAGCGATAGTCTATTGCAACATACTATTGCGACAGCGATAGTCTATTGCAACATACTATTGCGACAGCGATAGTCTATTGCAACATACTATTGCGACAGCGATAGTCTATTGCAACATACTATTGCGACAGCGATAGTCTATTGCAACATACTATTGCGACAGCGATAGTCTATTGATACATACTATTGCGACAGCGATAGTCTATTGCAACATACTGTTGCGACAGCGATAGTCTATTGCAACATACTATTGCGACAGCGATAGTCTATTGCAACATACTATTGCGACAGCGATAGTCTATTGCAACATACTATTGCGACAGCGATAGTTTATTGCAACATACTATTGCGACAGCGATAGTCTATTGCAACATACTATTGCGACAGCGATAGTCTATTGCAACATACTATTGCGACAGCGATAGTCTATTGCAACATACTATTGCGACAGCGATAGTCTATTGCGAACAAGTATTGCAATAGGTTTTTTCTCCTTGAATTATCTCATTTGAAGTCATTTCCCAAATGAATGCATAGGTTATATGAAATAAAAGCAAGTTGAAATAGTTTAAGTCTATTTTGATAACTGACAAGAAACTTGAAACCAGATCAAGTAAACAGTTGAAACATAAACTCAATAAAGCTGCAAGTCTGCGTCCAAACATCCTGGGTTTTTTTGCGTTGCACATTTATCAACGGAAGTCAACTACTAAACTATCGATAGCCACACATACTATCGATGCATTGACAATTTTTCGTTTCTACCATCGACTAATTGCCATTGCATCGATAGTTCGATGCATCGTTACAGCCCTAATTACTGATACATAAATTAGAAGTTGGTTTCCTTATCCGGGATAGTGAGGGGCAGTCTAAAATGGATACACAGGGTACTTCATAATGATACAGGCAAGTGTTTTGGGGAAGGAGGAAGGCACAAAGATACCCTAACACAACCGCCAACTATCAAATATCTACATTCACCCATCTACCATAACGTTCATGTCTTTACCAAGGAACCTAAGTTAACATTGAGGATAACTTCCCAAATGGTAGTGTTTCTTTATAGAGTGATCAATCTCAGATCCCACAGTACTGTTCGGTTTGGTAGCGCTAGATAGTACCATGTGTGATTGATATTGCTTAATGATCATATCATTTCGTGAGTGAGTGAGTTTAGTTTTACGTCGCAGTCAGCAACATTCCAGCTATATGACGTTACTGAAGTTACTGAAGATCACTTCTAACCCGGATCTACACGGGTTCATTTCGTGAAGGCTAGTTAATAAATTCACCCGCGAATCACAACATGAATAATTCCATTATCTTAAGTGTTTTCATGTTCATCTGATGTTGCTTGCTTGGTCCACAGGAACATCAGTAGCTGCGTCATGGCATTAAATGGCTGAAGTTTTGGATAAGTAAGAATTAGTTAGAGGAAGACGATTTGGATAAGTAAGAATAAGTTAGAGGACGAAGATTTGGATAAGTAAGAATAAGTTGGATTGTCCACCCAAGCTATCCGCTTTGAGGAGGAGGCATCTCTTCTGGGTGCCGTTCCACTAACCGATCTTAGCCCTACTCCAATCGTAAAGTTAAGATCCAGAGTCTAAGTTGCTCATGACCAACTTAGGATCGACAAAATCAATCGTAAAGAAACCAAAATGGCGGCTTTCATTATTCTATGTGAAGAAGAAGAGCGAGCATTACACTGTGAGCGTGTTTTTCGAGACCGCTCACAGATTCTAGATGCATTATCAGATGATGTGATTTGGGCAAGGTACAGGATGCATCGTCACGCCTTGTTTATGCTGATCGATAAGGTTCAGCCACATGGGTATGCCAAATACCCAGCGTTCACGCACACTTGCCCCTGAAACCAAAATGCTCTCTACCGTAAAACTGCTCTTTTTCGCTCGAGGTTTCTTCTCTTCATTTACACATGGTTCCAAAACTGCCTCCATCATCTGCTAGACTATGCAAAGGGAGATAACTCATGCCTTGCATTTTTCTATCTCTCGCACGAAAGAATCTCGATCTTAGCTACAATCGGATCGTAAGATCGGGATCGGCTACGATCGGCCTAAGATCGGTTAGTGGAACGGGCGTAACTTTTAGCAAAGACAATTGTAAAATTGGCGTTACTTGCTAAGATTGATCTTAGATAAGATCGGCTAGTGCAACGGCACCCTGGTGACGTAGTAGGTGGGAACCAGGATTCTATCGTCAAGCTTGTTAGAACTTGCTAATTACTGTAATCTACATGCAACTGTTGTGACATACACACTGATATCTATGGAATACTGTAGGGACATTGTCGCGATCTCGCATTCTTGCGGTCTCGACCTTTGGAAACAAGCTAAAAATGCCCAAAGTGCGAGAATGCGAGATTGCGAGATTTGACTGACTGACTGACTGAGTTTAGTTTTACGCCGCTTTTAGCAATATTCCAGCAATATCACGGCGGGGGACACCAGAAATGGGCTTAACACAGTGTGCCCATGTGGGGAATCGAACCCGGGTCTTCGGCGTGACGAGCCAAGCGAGATTTGACAGCATGTGCAAATGTCGCATTCTCGCGTTGTCGACTTTTGACAAAAAGTGCTATGTACCAAAAAACACGAGAATGCGAGATCGCGAGAATGTCCCTTACAGTATTCCATTGATATCTCAGGGTTATCTCATACTGTACTGAACCAAGTGATAATGACACTCAACGATAACATCAATTGTTGATAGATGCAGAAGTAGAAGACAAACCTATTGTGTTGTACCTTTGGTGTTAATTTAAAACGAGTGGGGGGAAAAATAAGGAGGTGCATATATGTTATCCATTTAGGTGGGCAAACCAGTATTACATTTCTGGACATCAGCAAACAGAGGAGGGGGTATCCAGCTGTCTACAACCCAAAAGCATCATGTGGAGTTTGAGCTACATGCTTGTTGTGATTTTCTTGTTTGTTTATTTGTTTAAGGTAAGTAAATAGGTAACATTTTTCTGTTCGGTATCAATGTCGAATGCTGTTTTTAATTTTTTAAATTGTGTACATCTAATTCTGCATCTAATCATATGCAAACCTCACTCCGCGACAGCCCAGTACCAGCAGCGGGCGTGCGGCTGTACATCTGCTGGAGTATCACAGGTCATCAGATACAGGATGCAAAGGAAGCTTGTTGTCATCTAATGTCTGTGACCTACTGTTCACCATCTGTTTCCAAGGGTTGTCCGGCAAAGAGTAAGTCGTTTTACCACACATCAAAGTCTACTCTGAAGGCGAACAACTTTGACGTTCGATTAAATCCATTGTCTACAACCATTGAAAGAACATTTATGTTTAATGCATATAAACTATATAATTTAACACTGGTGAAGATGTACAATGGTGCAAAATAGAAGCTTTTCTTGTTAGGTACGGATTGAACATGTACCACTTTCGAGTTAAGATATGCCGCGCACAGGTCTCAGGTACATCATCATTCAGGCATTTCATCACATCACATGGAATCAGCACAGATCGTATATGATCCTCTATACATTTGAAGAGTGTGTTAGTTTCATGATTTTATCACAGTTCCTGCACAAAGACGAGTGACATGTACAAAGCAACGAGGGATGTCAAATTTGGGACAAGCATTAATGGCGGGATAGCCAATCCCATCCTCAAGTCGTTCACTGCCTTACAGGTACATTTAATTAACTGGTCGTGTCGCTTAAAAGTCAGTAGTGAAGCTATTTAACTCGTGACATCTCATTTACACCTAAGATATTACCATGTTATGCATGTTACATTCTATGCATGTTTTAGCATTAATGATTGGCTACAATACACAGTGTGTAAATTCAAACAACGAATCAAACTTAAATATGGTGTTCAGCAATCTGATTTTTCTTTGATGTTTAACGCCGCACTCAGCAATATTCCAGCTATAGTTCTTAGAGAACCAAGATGATTCGTAAATATTGTCAAGAGTGAACCTATCTTGTCAGGCTCACACTGAACAGGCTGCAGTAGCCCCAGGGCAAATGTCGTATTTAGTTATTCATAATACCAAGGTTTGATTCCTTAAACGGATGTACCGTGTGATGCCTTTTGATGATGCCCTTCCGCCGTGATATCACTAGTGTATTTGTTACAGTGAATGTGTGAAACCAGGGATTTCACATAATCCCTAAAAGAGTCAGTGATTTCGTTAAATCCTTGTTACTCCCAGGGATTTCATGTATTCCCCAACATTTCAGGGATTTCATGAAATTCCTGAAATATTATCTCAGGGATTTCATGAAATCCCGGTAAGCCTTTATTGAAATAGAGAACACCAAATTTATAATGCGAGTACAGAGTATATGCTGATGAAATTCATTTGTTTGGACACGATAGACTGTTATCATACAAGCTATTACACTTCAGTATCACTTTAAAACATTTACAACGTATCGATTTACATTGGTTAGGACCACAGTAACATTTCTGGAAACCCTGACCACCACAATTCTACTCGAAAAATCACAGCTGTGTGGAGGAACAGTTCTTTGTCCATTGTCACATCATTCGTAGAGAGAAGACGCTGAGGACAAACATGAAATAAGTGCTTTGAAAAATACCTTTTCCTTCCCAATGGCCTAATCTGTTTATACTTAAACGTAATGGTGACTGGTCTTGATGTTTCACCAATATAGGATTCGCTGCAGTCGCATTCTGTCTGGTAGACGACACCTGCAGGATCTGGCTTCTTTGCCGGGTGGGTCTGCCTGTGGCAAAGAAGCCAGATCCATTAGGATCAAAGAACACCAGGCCTCTGTAAGAAAAACAGACTCTAAATCCTCCATAACCGACCACCTTAAAGCCAAGCCAACCCAAACCACAACATCAGTTGGAACACCACCACAGGCACCGAGAGGAACCAGCCTGATTTAAAAAACCCGAAAACTACTTGAAGCTGTCCACATAAAGAAGATTTGTCCATATGTCCAGCCATCAACAGAGATGAAGTATCTTTCATCTCCAAGGCCTATAATCACCTGCTCAATTAATTTCATGTAACCCTACTCAACCATTGTACAATATCCATTGTGTTACACTGTACATTATCCATTGTGTAAACATCACTTCACTACTGGCTTCCCAACAGTCCCTTTATCACTTATGTAAACAACCTATGTATATCATTCCCTACTGGCTGCCCATCAACATCCTTAATCTCTTATGTATACAACCATGTGCATGTTCTTTACTGGCTTCCTATCAACCTACTTAATCCTGTGTTATCAACCTCCCCTATTGTATAAACAACTCATTTTCGCCTCAGCCCTCATCTATTGTACAAAAATCTCATGTATATATATCACCCAAATTACTTCCCATGTAACGTCCAAACGTTAAACATCCAATTTCGTCGTCGTCGTCCCATGTACCACTTGCTTGACAACGACATTAGAATCTATGTCGAAACGTCGCCTATATAGAATAAAGAAGTTGTATATCCCTAAAAACAGTCCTCATTCTTCATCTACCCAACTTCTACAATGCCAATCAAAGAAAGATGTATACAAATTTGCAGTACGCTTTTTAGGAATATGAAGGCAGGTTTTGGCGGATAAAAACGATACACCTGGACAAGTTTACGCGAAATCCCTGGTTTCACACATTCCTTGTAACATATTAACGGCAAAAAATACCTACTCATGCACATTAAGACATGCAAAACGAGGATGATCGAGTGGAAACTACATCATACTGGTTAACAAAGTAATTAAACAGAAATTGTATTTGTTCAGACAGGTGCGGAGGTTGAGGTCAAAGTGGGTGATGATTACTGGTTGTCATCAACACCTCTTCCTCTGGATGACTTGAAGATCCCTCTACCGCCGTCTCACAATGGTGCTACCGTCACGCTTACCAACAGCCATGCAAGGTGCGTGACTACAGCAATATTTGCTCTAAGAGTGTTCTCGTCTCGCTCTGTATCCCACTCTACATCTATATAAAGAGGTCTATCTTACACAGATTTTAACATTATGTTTTATCCATTCAAAACATTTTCTTCTTAAGTCTGCCTTTAACGTCCGACTGAAACTCTTAGAGCAGATACTATATATTCTTTTGCCATGACATTTTGAATTGTCATGTGTAAACATGTTCAGGAACGACTTATACCTTGTACATCAATATCTGCCACTACAAGAAATGTCAATATGGGTGACTCCACATTACAGATTAACACTGACCATCACTGTGACCTGTGACCCCCACTACTATGGACCGAACTGTTCTGTCCTGTGTAACCCAGGGTCAGCTGACCACTACACGTGTGGCCCGGACGGGTTAAAACACTGCATTAAAGGTATGTTACATAAGCTCAAGTCACACCTGAACTAAAGACAGGCATGCCGACAACTGAACATGCCTTCGACATTAACGTTTCTTAAAAACGAAGTTCTTACCTCAGATGTATTGTACTAGACACTGAGAAAGCCTCGCACTTCTTTAACACTTAATTAAAATATGTAAGGCTATCCAGGGATGTCTTTCACGTAATTTGAATCGCGCGTATAGCATGTTATCGTGAAAATGTTATATTTGTTTGGTACAACATGCATAGACTGCCAGGCTACATAGCGCTACACATTTTGCTCCCATCGTTAACCCTCTTGTCAGTGTCTAAGGGTTGCACTGTACAGCCACCGTCTCAGTGCTCTAGGGGATAGAGTGTCTGCTTGGAGAGCGAATGGCTTCGTTTCGATATATATGTTCACTATGAAAGGCTTTCAAACGTGGTATGTGTTGTTACCTTGCCATGTTCTCATTATTGAGGGTAAAACAGATATTGCTTGTCCCAAAGTCAGCATTATTTGCCTCAGATGGATACAGAAGTGTAAACATCACTATGACACAGGCATAGTGCAAACTCCGCACGCACACACACACGCAAGCACGTCAATACGAAAGTGCAATGTCTCGAAATCGAAGTTAAACCTCATATTTTCCTCACTGAATCTTTGGTGCACGACAAGGTAGACTTGACTTGGTTGCTGGGCATGGTCTATAGCCAAGTACTAACTATGGTTTAAAAGTCTGTCTCTATATATTTAACTAAAGGGGCTTAAGGGTCCTTCTCTGGCATATATTTAAAAAAACTACAAGGGTGTTTCCATCTTCCCTGTTTCCGATGGAAGTAAAATCTTCCGTAGTTTCGTCTTCGACAAGATCTGCACATATCTAAATCAATGTTAATGTACAGGATGTGAACCCATCTTAGAGATTGTCTAGGTGGTAGAGCACATACCTGCCATCTTCTTCACCTTATGTCTATATCATCTCCAGTCCATTCATCCCTCAGTGAACTTAATACTGACTGGAAAGTAATGGCATAAGTTAGGACATCTAAGGAACAAATTAAAACAAGGCTTTCTACAACACGTTAGTGGCACCATAATGATTATTTACAAGGATTATTCAGGACGTAAAGTGACACCACAATTAATCTTCTAGAGATTGGGGATTTAGCATCTACAGTCATTATGTCAGACTTTAAACTAGTACAATGTTGTCAGTGTTCGATAACGCATAGTCGGTCTCTTTCATTGTTTACCTTTACAAGCATAGTGAAAAAGCTAGATATATTTAAAGTAAGTCATCACATCGCATGTATGTACGATGCATGCATATACATGTATTTTGTTTAACTCTATAAATCTACTCACATGTTAAAATCTTAATGATTTAAGTTATGCAAATGGAATATGCTTGAATCTAGATGCTTTCTCTGTAATTTTCAGGCTATACCGGAAGTGCTTGCCAACAAACACCGTGCCACAACGTTGCCTGCCATAACGGAGGAATGTGTGTTGTAGTAGGGTCAACATTCAACTGTTCCTGTCCATCTGGATTTAGTGGTGTACATTGTGAGACCACACCTTGTACAAATAATTCATGTCAGAACCAAGGAACGTGTCATGTTGTTGGATCGATAGCCACCTGTTCTTGTAAATCTGGATTTAATGGTACACATTGTGAGACCAACCCCTGTACAAAGAACCCATGTCAGAATCAAGGAACGTGCCGTTTTACTGGATCAAAGGTCACCTGTTCCTGTAAAACTGGATTTAATGGTACACATTGTGAGACCACACCCTGTACAAAGAATCCATGTCAGAATCAGGGAACGTGTCATGTTGTTGGGTCGAAAGCTACCTGTTCCTGTAGGTCTGGATTTAATGGTACACATTGTGAGACCACCCCCTGTACAAAGAATCCATGTCAGAATCAAGGAACGTGCCGTTTTACTGGATCAAAGGTCACCTGTTCCTGTAAATCTGGATTTAACGGTACACATTGTGAGACCACACCTTGTACAAAGAATCCATGCCAGAATCAAGGAACGTGCCGTTTTACTGGATCAAAGGTCACCTGTTCCTGTAAATCTGGATTTAACGGTACACATTGTGAGACCACACCTTGTACAAAGAATCCATGCCAGAATCAAGGAACGTGCCGTTTTACTGGATCAAAGGTTACCTGTTCTTGCAAGTCTGGATTTAACGGACCACTTTGTGAGACCACCCCGTGTACAAAGAATCCATGTCAGAATCAAGGAACGTGCAGTTTTACTGAATCAAAGGTCACCTGTTCTTGCAAATCTGGATTTAACGGTACACATTGTGAGACCACCCCCTGTACAAAGAATCCATGTCAGAATCAAGGAACGTGTCTTGTTGCTGGATCGGAAGTCACATGTTCCTGCAAATCTGGATTTAATGGTACACATTGTGAAACCACCCCCTGTACAAAGAATCCATGTCAGAATCAAGGAACGTGCCGTTTTACTGGATCAAAGGTCACCTGTTCTTGCAAATCTGGATTTAACGATACACATTGTGAGACCACCCCCTGTACAAAGAATCCATGTCAGAACCAGGGAACATGTCATGTTGTTGGGTCGAAAGCTACCTGTTCCTGTAAATCTGGTTTTAATGGTACACATTGTGAGACCACACCCTGTACAAAGAACCCATGTCAGAATCAAGGAACGTGCATGTTTACTGGATCAAAGGTCACCTGTTTCTGCAGGTCTGGATTTAACGGTACACATTGTGAGACCACCCCCTGTACAAAGAATCCATGTCAGAATCAAGGAACGTGTCATGTTGCTGGATCGGAAGTCACATGTTCCTGCAAATCTGGATTTAACGGTACACATTGTGAAACCACCCCCTGTACAAAGAATCCATGTCAGAATCAAGGAACGTGTCATTTTACTGTTTCAATGGTCACCTGCTCTTGTCGTCCTGGATATAAAGGTACGCAATAGGCATGTGACCACGATATACCTTTGATAATATGTCAGATAAGATGGTTTCAAAGTAAATATCAAAGATGGTTTCAAATAAAAATCCTTATCAAGAGATAGCATCAACTTTGTAGATATCAGCGATGTCTTTACGTTCTTACGCCAGTTATTACGCTGTATTAATTGCTCTTTGTGTTTTGGGTTTCTTTAATACCATTAAGTAATTATTCTGTTATTCAGGAATGTACTGTGATGTTCTGTCAAACACAAAGGAAGTCACTCCATCAATGGCAGCATCATCAACAGACCGGACTCTTCCACATCTTCCTACTCCAACAGGTATCAGTTTAAACAAGTAAACTTTAAATTTACCTGTCAAGGTGGAAATGATAACTGACAAAGTTGAACCTTCATAGGATCAAGTTTCCAGGCCATTACTTAAAATAGGCTAGACCCAAGTAGGTTCCAGGCGCGTGATTATATAATGATTGAATATAAAATCATGGCTTCTATATGTACTAATAAATCTGTGAAAAGTAACATCATGATGGCAATTACAACCTCAATCATATACTGTAGTGTGTGTATATCACACAGGTCACAGCCGCCCACAAACCACAGCCAGATTAATTTTGCCACACAGCGTCTTACAGGGAGCATACTACCACTCGTGAAATACTAGTTCCGCTTGTAAACATTATTGCCATATTTGTCAATGTTGTGTGAATGTGTGTAAAATATGGCCCCCATAAATGAACTATTTGGGACACTGTTATAATGGAACTGTGGCAGTCAGAAGTGTGTCTCGTATATTCACTTTCAAAAAGGTAAAATCTCGAAAGTTATAATTTCAGAGAAAAACAAGCTGAAGATTGACCAAACCATTTGCACGATACAATTTATCCTCATCATAACGGGGAAAGACCTGAAAAAAAGACCGGAGACTAATGTCCCTTTATGTTTTGCTTCTGTATTTGCAGGTTGTCCCCACAACATCAGTAACTGTGAGTTAGCGGAGTGTCCAGATCTGACCTCTGTCCGATGTGTCCGGTGTCGGGCTGGTTACACACAGGTTGAGGGACGCTGCATGAGTAAGTTCAAAATATAATTGAAAACAAAATGCAATTTAGAAATAATACAGTTTTCAATGCTAATATCGCCTAATTGGGTGATAATTCATTGTGGATAGTTGTGCACAGTATCTATTAGACTCAGCCGGCCATTGGTTCGAAACCTCGATTCCTTTCGATTGCGATCATGGTTATGCATGGCTTCCTTCAAATAAAGACTACAGTTCTCGATGTAACTGAGATAATGTTATGAACATATAAAGCCACCTAACGTGTGTTGTATTACTTTGCGGAGCCTACAAAATCTCAGTTCTTGAGAAGACGACTTTTCAATCAAACCCGGAGTGACTATGAGTACTGATGAATTATGTTTCAGCGTGTCCAACCCGCACCCCTATCCTGCATTGTGAGGAGGAACAATCAGTCGACTGTCTCTTCAGATGGTGCAACAGGTGCGAGCAGGGATTCTACCGGGAAGCTGCTGCTTGTGAGGGTGAGGCTTCCTTATAACTCGCATTCTTCTAAATACACCATCTAACTTTCTTCAATGTATACAGATGTCTCAGGAAAAACATGTCAACAGGCGTTTAATGATACGATTGACAATATGTCTTGACATCCAACACAGTGTGTCCCCGTCTACACGCCGGATGTCGTGATCACGTCTGCTCCTCCGCTGATGACGTCAGGTGTGTTAGATGTCAACCGGGTTTCTTCCTGACCGGGAACACCTGTAAAGGTAAACTATATGTTCAACTACCTTTTGTGTTTATGTTTGTGGAATAAATATACCACGGAGGCCAAATACCTTAACACATCAATTCCATATGTGCTCTTCCAGAATGTCCTTCCCCAAACCCAATGTGCAACGAATTCACCTGTAGTGACTCCACTGACGTCACATGCACCAAGTGCAAAGATGGATTCCTGGAAGTAGACGGCCAGTGTCTTCGTGAGTTATTTCAGCTGAAACACAACGTTATGCTTACAAGCCTGTTCTGACAACAACTAATACTGAGAGTATGCTATATAGATAGTGTGAGAGAGGGGTGGTTTAACTCAGATTTGAACAGAAGTCCAGTTATGTGAAGGTGTGTTAGCATACTTTGGGACGAAAGAAACACACGACTCCCCCATCTACCATTTCGGTGAATATCATCGATATGGTGCTGACAAACCGAGAATCATAATCGCAGCGGACGGGATCTGCACAGCGATGAGAATACGTTGCATCGGGTAACCAAAACAATTTCGCATCATCAGCAAGCACTTGTAGCAATGGTAACGTTTTCAGATGTTCCTTTTAAAACTTATTATCAGAATGATAACGAACTTCTCTTTGGCGCAAGGGTGCCACGACCACAATGCCTTCTGTTGTCTGATTTCTTTTGCTGCAGTGTGTCCATCCACGGGCCTGATCCCTGACTGCGTAGACGTTGCCAGAGACGGCTGCTTTAAAAACTGGTGCAGGAAGTGTGCTCCCGGCTTCTTCATCAGCGGGACAGCTTGTGATGGTAAAACAGTTATCCTTTCGACCTGTAAATGGTACAATGCCCCGAAAGCTGACGTTTAATGGTTCTTAGAATCTTTTTCCACTTCGTTGTTGCTTAGCATTATAAAAGGTCCATGCCAGAAACGTAGGAGTGTCCGAAACGAAAACCCGTACACAAAAAGCCAACACAATGATCCAAACTCCACCCGGAAACTAAACGCAGAGCAGTATCTATTGAACAATGCATAGATGTCTTCCAGTAATGATTATGAAGCTTCACGTTGATTATCCGATCTGCGCGAGCCTGCCCCTTCAAACTCTTCAGAATATAGAAATACCTGAAAATGCCACCCACTGCTCTTTATATACTAAGCAGCAAAAGAAACGTCAGTTTGGAATTTTCCGTCGCAGAAACGGATAACTGTAAACTCATTTAATGTTTGTTTTGTATATTTTTGACAACATCTCCAACTTTACCTGAGCAAAGACATTCCTTCCCAAACTCAGAATGGAACCCAGGAAATGGTCTCAAAAACGCAACCTGATCTCGGAGATGGTACCGTGTTCTCCATGTTTTTCATGCAACTCATGCTAAATGTGCTGTTCACAAGGACCAGCCCTATAAAATGCACTCCAAACCTGGCTGAAACATTCACATTATCAACGTCAGCAGAATGCCGCGACACACGACAGCTGAGAAGAACCAGGCGCTAGGAAGACTTGGCCACACTGCACAAGCCGTTGCCAATCACTTAGCAGGTCAACGTTAGGACCATATACAGGCTGCATATGACGACGTGGCCAGCGTTACTCAGACCAATGTGTTATGGAAAGAGACTAATGGGGAGGTGCAAGCATCATGGTATAGGGTGGAATAGGCCTGAACCAGAGAGTGGGTCATGTGGTGTTCCAGAACCTTGGACCAGGGAGAGGAGGCGGCATCACAGCGATGCGCTACATCGACCAAGCTCTCAGACCCCACGTCATACCACAGTTCGCACGTCACCGGAACAACATTTTCCAGCATGATAACGCCCGGGCCCATACTGCCAGAGCTACACGGGACTTCCCACAGCAGACTGGTGTCAACATTATGCAGTGGCCAGCCCTTAGTCCTGATTTAAACCCAATTGAACATCTTTGGGATAAAATTCAGAGGAGACTAAATAATGTCATACCAAGGCCGAACACAGCCGATTTATTGCGCTAGGCCTTTCTCAGAGTCTTGAAATTGTCTTGAGTTATTCATTGATGTGTCAAGATATTGTACACAAAAAATGTTTTTGATCCGCTTATTATGTCCATTTCTGTAATGATTTGATTACAATGCCTATCTAAGTTTGAATTCGTACTTACGTTTTTTTTTGCTGCTGAGTATATTATGACGTTAAAAAGTACATTAGCTCTTCCGACGCACACCTAGTGTCATCATTTTCAGTGATCGATCCATATACTTTTCATTACTATAACACCCCTTACACAAAAGAGAAATCTGTTCTAAGGATAGTCAAGGCTGAGTATTCTTTGGCGTTTCAGAAATATGCCAAAGCCTCACCTGCCGAAATTATATCAATTAACATACTTTTCCACTTTATTCTTTTCAAAGAGTCCATTTTTCAGTCTGCCCCCCACCTGGTGTAGGCTGTCAACTTGCTGAATGTAATTCTACCCAAGACTCGCGCTGTGTCACATGTTTCCATGGCTACGACTTAAAGGGTGGAATCTGCAGTGAGTAGTTGTTATTCCATAGTTCGACTAACGGGGATCGGGTGGTCAGTCTCGCTGACTTGGATGACACATGTCATCGTATCCCAATTGCATAGATCGATGCTCATATTGTTGATCACTGGATTGTCTGATCATGACTAGATTATCATCATACCGCCTCAATATAGCTGGAATATTGCTTAGAGCTGCGTTAAACAAACTATACCACTTGCATATTAAAACAGTTTATTAAAATCGTGAGTTTCACATTTCTTGTGTAGATTGTAATGATACAAGCACACTTGTTTTCCAGCACATTCCCATGGCAACGAATCAGTTACTTCCTCTACTCAGTGCGTGGACAACCCACACGTCGACTGTGCTTCTCTACACGCATCTCTCAACGTCTGCTCAGAACCGACTACGGCCTGTGAATACTGCCCTCGATACTGCCACATGTGCAACACGTGCACTCAGGGTGTGCCTATCATTGGCTGATGAAGCAGAATGAATGAGATCTGTTTCAGGCTGTTTTGCACAGTATTTCAGTCACACCGGGTGAGCCGCTGCTGAAACCCCGACGAGATGACTGTGCAAATGTTCGCCATTTACGCGTCTTACAAGTATGATTCTCTCAAATTGAAAAACGTAATCAGCTTGATCATCGGATTTGAACCCGTAGTTATATAAGTGGTGCAGCTCTGCATAATGCAATGCAACTTAAAACCATAAAAATGTTATTATGTGTAATGTATATGGGTTTGTTTACAAAGATGTTGTAATTGTTGGGATAATTATATGTATAATAAATTGATATATTGTAAAAAAACATGTATGCATTAAGTTATTGTGTTTGGAATATATTTGTGCAATCATTTATTCGATGTGATAATGTTATAACATGTTAATGCTGTACAATCACTTCTTTTTGTTTTGTTTTGTTTTGTATTTTTATTTGGTTTAAAAACATGTACAAATATTCCAGCTGTATGAAGCCCGTGATTTGTAATATGAGCATCGATCAACACAAATGGGATTCCACAACATAAACCAAATTACCCAGTCGGACAGGACCAGTGGTTTCCAGACACAGAGTCAAAGTCCTGTAGACTCTGAGTACGGTATGTCCTCGGTTGTGTGTCAATAAACTACAATGATTCCAGAAGAATCGGTTTCAGAAATCGCTCATGAACATTGTATTTTGTCCATTAATGTGATTTCCGTAAATGTGCCATCAACTTAACTGATATAATCTGTGCAAGATATTTTGTGATGCCCTCCCATACAATTGTCGCATGCATGTGAAGCCCGACCTTGCATGCTAAAAAATGATTTAACTTTAACCAATGGCAAGAAGATAGCGTAAACTATTAAATAATTACACACACGCACACACGTGCATAGACACACATAAACTTACGCATGTATGTACGTACGTACATACACAGATGTCTCTGCATTATTTACTATATGTTATGATATTATGTATATTTTGACCACAACATATACTATTTAACTGCAGCTGATTGAATGGTACATGCTCATGATATAGTTACAATTGTACAATCGACTCTGCTTTTAGCAGACGTTTCTTATGAATTTGGAAAGGATTTTATCGCTTTTGAATACTGGGCTCTGAAAACAGACTGACTTACTGAGCAGTGTCGCACCTACATCCACATACACACCATTGCAACAACGGATACACTAGTGTACCATTGAAATGTCAAAACTTTTGCTAGTTTATCGTTTTAAAGGGACATATGACTGATATTTACATCCATGGCAGATGACCATAGATTTTATTTAGATGATTAGTCAGAGCACCCAATTGTCCATCACGTCATTTGCCATGAAAGGTCAGACTCGTGTACGTCCAGGGGGTTGTGAGAATAGTACTGCCCAGTAGCACGATCAGTTCCATATCTGGTGAAAAGCTTGCCCTATCCTGTCCTGACCACGTCACCTTGTAATGAAGAGAGGGATCGAGTAAGCCTATGTGAGTATAGAACCTAGTGTTGAGTTATTCCTTGTAATGCCAGAGTGCCAGTACATGAATGTAATGTTGTAGTTAGGAGTCTCGGTCGTCAGACCTCTCACTCCTAAACGTAGAAGCCCCGGACGGACCAAGCGAGTATGTAACCTGAGCTTACATCACCCCTGACAATGCGGAACGGCCATCTTAATAGGTAACTGGTAGTAGGGTTTACTAACACCCAAATCCCGGTTACGACACTAGCGTTGTTTTATATCCATAGAGCCATATCCATCCATAGCCATTGCTATATAAATTGTGTCTCACATGGCTAAACCTAAACCTTGTCTTACATGCAATTCTCGCTTCCGATATCTGCAATTGTACCTTTGTTTCAATATGTACCACAGGCATTAACAGCCGCATGATTGCAACTTAAGGATGCGAAATAGATATCGAATGCAAATCTCAAAACGTTTTTAAAGACATAATTGATACATTGATACATACTATTGAACTCACCATGCAACATACAATGATTCTTTTTCTAAACACAGATATTATTCCTTCATACACATTGTGACTCAATGTTTTTTATCACTTCCTTAAAATCCGTTAATATTACTTAATATCCTTCTTATCACAGTAGGAATCGAATCTAAATCTTTTGCTGGCAAAATCCACCGTTATATTGAAGAGTTATCTAATTGTGAGAAATCATAATTAGCTAACGTCATGTTAATGAAGTGTAAGGCCAAGAATCATGGTTAAGCGTAGACTGAATATTTGGATCTTAGATCAACCACTTTTGTAAGCAGGTATGGTGAGTATTGTGCCCTGGGCACCACTTGAATGGGGATGGAGGTGTGTGTGTGTGTGCGTGCGTGCGTGCGTGCGTGTGAGCGCCACTGAGCACTCTCTATTAAAGTCAGATAAGCTATTCCCCGAATAATGGAAAAATCATTTTACCCGTACAATTGATAATTAATTGTCTTTGATTAGCATGGGCAAGAAGCACTTGAAGATTGCATTGTTGTTCCATTCGATAATTATCAAAGAATGCGTAAATGTGTAATTATTAAAGAATGTGTAAATCGAAATATGTTTTATCCATAATTTCTGTTGTTGCCATAGGCGCTATATTCCTTAGATACGCCGCAGTCACATTGTTTTAGTTATATCATGTCTGCATGTAGCAAGCATGTAGCCCTATCAGGCAGTCAGGTTACATTGACACTAACGCCTGACGCTTCCACTCATATGACAAGCAATTTTATGCTGGATATCCTCTAAACTTGATTTGATCAAGACTCAGTCTGGGTATTCGTTTGCACTCACTAACTCACTAACTCACTCACTCACTCACTGGTGGTGTGTGGTTCTGTGCATAGAGCTCAGGTCACAATTCAGTTTAAGTTTATCAACGTTGAGAGCGGAGAGCATTTGGATGGGTGACCATGTTCGGCAGCTTGCCTCCTGAGAGTTTCTAGGACTTCAGTCCTACCCCACAACGAAGCATATGTGATACCTTAGGCAATTGAATTTGTTCAAAATTGTCTCTGTTCACCCAGCAGAAAGTGGGTACCCAGTGGGATAAGTCATGTGACTATTAACCTTCTAGTGTCTCACAGGCAGCTTGGATTATCCGGGGTAATAATAATCACCCTCTGTATTGATAGGTACATGTCAGTGAGGGCTCTGTCCAGATGCCATCAATTTCCGAAACATTAATTCTCTTAATCTGAAAAGCAGTTTACTAAATTCAGAAATAAGACTCCCTTTTTAAAGTCAAAATGTTTGTGATGAACTGTAAAAACTGACCACTACGAAATCAATACAACTAACTATGTATATTTCTCTTCTTGATAAGAGGGGCGGTGGGGTAGCCTAGTGGTTAAAGCGTTCGCTCGCCACGCCGAAGACCCGGGTTCGATTCCCCACATGGGCACAATGTGTGGAGCCCATTTCTGGTGTCCCCCGCCGTGATATTGCTGGAATATTGCTAAAAGCGGCGTAAAACTAAACACACTCACTCACTCACTCTTGATAAGATGTTTTACTTAGCATATTTTAGCAATATTTACAGGTCATATTTTCAGTGCATTCAAATTTTCACGGCCTTAGCATTTATTGGTTATTAACTGAAAATCTGGGTTAGAATGGTCTTCAGCAACCCATGCATGTCGTAAGGGGCGACTAACGGGGTGGTGTGCGCAGGCTATCTGACTTGGTTGATATAATTATATCATCGTGTGAAGATTGCGTAAATCGATGCTTACGGTACCTATGAATGGATTGTCTGATCCAGACTCGTTTATTTACAGACCGTTGTCTTATCGCTGGAGTATTGCTCAGTGCGGCGTTTAACAATAAACATACAAAAAGCCACCCACATTGACTGTCCTAGTCATAGAATAGTGACAAATGCGTCCATAAAATATTACTAGTAACATGCCCTCTCCTTTGGCAAGGCCAAACGGTCCGCATCTGGTGGAGCTTTGGACAAACACATACGCACAATTAGGTACTTGTTTCGAATCGAACCCGGATCTTCGGCGTGAGGAGCAAATGCTTTAAACCACTAGGCTACCCCACCGCCCCTATGGTACTTGGAAACCTAAGTCAACATAGACAAATATAATGATCCGATCCGATCCGATCCGATGCATACTGTTTAGACTTATACTACATGTCCCAGTGTTTTTAGGTGAATTATTGACCTGCGTTTGCATGACTTTTTGTCTGTGACAGGTTCCACAGATGAGGCAGGATGTACTGACCAGTCCATATAAAATGTGCAGTGCGCATTACATGATGCACATCTGATGATCATAACCTTTTCTCAGCAGCACGAGAAGAATCGTCAAAATACTAAGATAACTATTTTTATGTTCTTAAACAAATAGAATGTAAAGTATCCAGTGTTATAAAGTGTGGATATGGTGATACCATGTTGTATCGATCAAAAGTATCCCATAGATGTTCAATGGGGGGCAAATCGGGTGATCGAGAAGCTAACACCTGAACATTGTTTTGCTGGAGGGAGTCCTGTCAAAACACGTGCAACGCGAGGTCGAGCATTAACCGTTGATGTTGATGAAGGGAACGACGTGACGTTGAACTGGTTTTCTCGCAAACAGTCTGGCTTCCCATAGCCAATTGCGCACTGTCTGGTCGGAGATTCGGCGCAGTCCAGGGATTTGGATTGTTGTGGATGATGCAGCCGTGGTGTTTGAATGAAGATGTCTCAACCGGATGTAGCGATCCTGTGCGGCGGTGGTAACTCTAGGTCGACCTGACCTGGGTCTGTCATTAACACTCCCAGTATTGTTGTATCGGGTCCATATGTTTGACATGGTCTGTCTGGACACGCTGAAGTGC